TCCTATTGAATTTTTGATGTTTGAATTGAACCGTTTCCTATTGAATTTTTTAAACTGTGCATTTAACTTTTGACATCTTTTTTATTTTGTGGTCTTACTATTCAAATTATATTTTGTTATTTCTGCACTTACTGCAAATTTTAAGTATCTGAGTGATTTATTATTACAGACAATTTATCAAAATTTCAGTGACTGGTTTATTCTCTTTTAAATTGTGTAATAGTGAAAGTATACTTATACATATTCTACTTACCTTTTTTTTGCTTTTGAGTCAAATCCTTTTTCTTCTGATTGCTGGCCCAGGCGATTTCAAAGTGCTAAACTAGTAGCAAATCGAGCACCACTGAGTACGCGCTACACATCCTCCCCAACGCACACGCAGCGGACTTAGTGGTCCGAAGAGCATAGTCAGATGCGGTGCGAAGCCCATAAGCCTGGGTTGGACCCATCCTTGTGCAGCTCGGCCAGCGCCTGCGCTTGGTAGCGCTGGTAGGTGGCCATCGCATGCAAGGCGGAAGCAGCCTGGCCCGCAGCCTTGTAAGCTCTAGCTCCGAGGGAGGCAGATAACTTACAGGCATTGGACAGGAGATGAGGCAGACTCCGCCAAGAAGAGGCGCCACGCGGACAAAGATTAATCGCGATCGTGCGCTCAACCTGAGGAATCGCCACATACCCCCTGGCCGCTTCACCATCAAGAGTAGTGAGGGCGGAGGGACACGCAGCACGAGCAGAAAAAAGTGCCCTTCAAGACCGCGTGAGCCTACTGTGCACCTCCGGGAAGAAGGGGATGAGAGGCTTTGAAGGCTTTGCCCTCTGGTTCTCTACGTAGCCCCATCTAGTCGGTCCGGCCGCGAAGCTGGGGGACAAACCATCTTCAACCCACGGCCGAAGCAGCCTGGGAAAGCACGGCTAACATGTCCGTTTCAGGATCCATTTTGACAGCGCTCACCTGCCCAGAGGGGGCGAGCGGGTCTGGATCATCATCGGACAATAAAAGCCCACCCTCAGATGTCGCGGTGGACATCTGGTCTCTGGTGTCAGCGAGCGTGAGAGCTATCATCTGATTAGACGGATCACTCCCAATGCCCGAAGCTTGATGAAGCGCCTGGAGGAGCGGGAGGTCCGCGAGCCCTTGGGCGGCGGATTATCTCCCGCTGAGAGCCTCAGATCTGCCCGAGTGCCCGCTGCAGAGCAGGAAGCAACTGGGGTGGTTCGCTCTCTTACGAAAGCTAGCCGCGATCTTAACTGCGCAACGGTTATGGCATTGCGGTGACAACATGAACCGCCCCCGAGCACCTTATTAACATGCTGGACACCAAAACATGTAATGCAGTGATCGTGTCCATCATCCGGAGCCAGGAAACCCCCGCAACCAGAAACGCACAGTCGGAGCACCATCCTGAAAAGGCTCGACCGTCTGCCGCCGCGTATACCCACTCTGGACCGGGAGACACTCGTTCGCTCAGAAGTCGCTGTAGTCAGCAAGAGAAATCCTCATCGACTCAATCAGAAAAGTCTCTGAAGCAAAAAGGATGGCGTCTGCTTGCTCCACGTGTGCTTGTATGCTGGGTTAATTGGCAATGAAGCACACCTGCGCAAGCTTATGCTGCCAATTCATTGGCATTCATTGGCCTGTTCCATACTCCTTCAGACAAGCGGCTTCTGAACCGAATCCTCCCAATTCGTGGATTTTCCTAAATCAAATCCACTAATAGCATTGGAGTTCCCCACCCGAAGGGGAACCTCTCTTTTCATTAGCATATGCATAAAACAAAAACACAAAACTTTTGAAATCCAGATCATCTATTTTGCATTTAAAAATGTCATATTTTGGATTTAGGGGTCTCCAACAACATGCTGATAAGCGTGCAAAGTCAAAAAACACGTTTACTGTATTATAATATGCATTTGTTTAGCACAAAGCTAATCTGTAGCAAAAGGGTGTGATTACAACTTATAACAATAACAACAATAGCAACAATTTAATGACACTTCGTGTTATGATCCGGAGAAAGAAGAAACTGGTCCATATAAACTGTAAAAGTCACTGACAAAGTCCCTGTCAAAATCTGTCCCATCAGCTGCATCCCAAATGACACACTATGCACTATGTACTTATGCACTTACTCAACAGCAGAGTATGTGTATGTAGTGTGGAACACTAATGGTTTTTCACAAAGCAGAAATTCAAACTGTTTCCCTGATGACGTTTGCCAGTTGCCAAATATGTGAAATAAATGACCAAAGCACCAAACAGTACTTGCCATGAGTTTAACCGCATTCACTATTTGGAGGCGCTTTAATCCCTTTCTTGGGAGAATTTTGCTTTCACAATAAAAAATAACAACAGTGATTCAGCTCCCGATAGCTCCGGCCCTTCCGCTACATGAGAAAACGTCAATGCAATCAAACAAAAGATCCGAACCCAACTTGATTCGTTTATTGGACTCTGAGTTAAATAGTCTTTCACTTAGAGCTGTGTTACACACTGCATGGAAGGTCATTTTCAAAAACCCATAATACGGGCTCTTTAAAGGATTGTTAGGTTGCATTAATTAGTGCAACATGGAGCCAGGAACCCTTACCTGTTTCTTCTTATCCTGAGGTCTACATAATCTTGGACCCGGCCTAAATTATAAGCAGAATCTGATTCAGATGAAACTAATTCCTCCAAAAACCCTATTGACAGAAAATTTTCCGCATTGATGCTGTGGGCTAGCCTGAACACCTACCGTGACCTACTCGACTGAGGACTAGACTGCAGCTCTCCACAAAACATTTGACCAGAGGAGACTTCACTTAACTTTTGTCTAATGGTGAAGTTTGTTCTTTGTCATTGTCGCCACAGGCTTGCTTGGTTTGGGACTAGTGGAGCTGTGCATCAGAGGAGCTTCTCTTCAGTGATTTGGCTTTCAGCATTTACATTACATTTAACTGAACTAAACTGAACTTCCACTGACAACTTAAGCGGTTTTAATTTACTAGAACTCCACCTATGTTTAAATGATTTGACACAGTATACACTGTAAAATGCATTATATAAATAAAAAAATAACTGACTTCTGAGCACTTCAAGAAGGGCTAATTGTTCCTCATATTTTGAGTAGTATTTAACCTACACTGGTCTCAGTTCGGGTAAATTAAGATTATCATTAATTTGATTCAATCTCAGTGCATCGATGATGCTTTACATACAGTACGCACTTTTAATTTTACTTCACAACACAAGAAAACAATTTTGTCTGTAAATACAAGCAGTCAGATATATGAACAGTACCTCCAATTTTACCTGATCAAAAAAACAGGCTTTCTGAATATCAAACAAAACTCAAGTACAGGAACAGAAGATGACAGGAGCATTTAGAAAATATTTATATAATAATCTTGCTTGCTGTTTGAGCACTGTCAGGTAAGTACCTAAATGCCTATGGTTGGCCATTGTGTTCACAAGTTTAACAAAAACGACTGTGATTGGACTGAAAAAGAGAGATTGAGCTTTACAGCTTTCATTTCCTCCCTAGCAATTAGTCCCGGCAAACTCACAAGCAGTGAGCTTAGCACAGTTTTTTAAGTAGTTAGAGCATTTTAATTACTCACGTTCAACTCCCTTGCCATAGTATGCTACCGCGATATAGTGCATGTGTGATAAATAATGTCAGTACATAATAATCGGTTATGATTTATTACTGAACCGATACCGATCGCAGTGCATGAAAAAAATCTATTAATTTTGACAACTGTAGAATTTACACCAATACTTTTACTCTAACTGAACTATATTTCTTAGCTTTTTTTTTTTTTTTTTTGGTAGTGGGATTGAGTGGGATTTTAACAACTTTTTTTCACCAGCTTTAATATACTGGACATAAAAGCCTGATGAATCAAATATAAATTAAAATATTTATATTATTCTAATGATTGCTTCCTACTTAAGGAACTGTAAATTTGATCAAATACGTATGATAAATAAACTCTTTTAAAAGGGTATTTTACTTACCAACTCTGTACCCTTCAGCCAGGCCTTCTTTCTTTGCAATGTTTTTGGCTACCACTAACAGATGGCCTAAGATCTGGGTGGAAAAATGCATGATCTTAAAGACATGCCATTCTTTTTAATTCCTAATACGACAATCAATAAAACATGGACAAACAAACCAGTGAATCTTCATCATGTGCTTCACTTATCCTGGGAATGGGAATCCTTGGAATAACTAAATAATGCACAGGAGCCTGTGGATTTACATCTCTGAAGGCAAGACACTGCAACAAAACAGAAGATTTGCAAACAGATATGTTAACAAAATGAAATAATGCAAAACAAAAGCCCTTTGCTAATTCTTTCTGCTTTCCACACATTCTTATCTGTTCTCTCCACGGTCTCAGTTTACATTCCAATAGTAATTATTAAATTAAATGATCTAAACGTATTCAAATGTATAAGCCTATATTGACATGTCTATTTCCTTAAACTTTGCCTATGCCTTTCAGCAAACAACTGTTTTCATCAGGGTAACAATGATCAGGTGCGTCTGGAGTTTCTTTTGAATGCTACGGTCTCATGACTTATTACAATATCAAAACAATACTAAAATAATATATTAAACACAAGGTCAACTCAACAATCATTATCAATAATCAATAATTTAGCATTGATAGATGGAGAAAAAAAAACTAAATGAAAAGTTAACTTAATTAAAAAGATGGCGCGTGTTATACAACATATTTCTCAAATAATACAATGAAGATACATATAGAATGGACCCATGAAAAATATGTATATATAGACAAATAAACAAGTATTGTGTACAAATAAATGCATATAATTACGCATATACATACACACTCATACATACAAATACACATTTATACACACATTATACACATGCATACATAAATACAAATTAAACAATATAAAATGAAAGTCTGTAGAACACATAAATGTTCAATGGCAAATTAGATTTTTCTCTTTTGTAAGTTTTTTCTTTTTTAATATGTTCTAGACTTTCCTTATATATTGTTAAATATATTTGTATGTGTTTATGTACAAGTGCATCCCGAAAGTATCCATATCGCTTACTTTTTCCACATTTTTATGTTACAGCCTTATTCCAAAATGGAATAATTTATTTCCTTAACATTATACTACGCATGTAGTGTTCTCGTGCAGTGTGTTGTGACTGACTAAACACCAAGTTAAACCATAGCCAATGAAGACAGAGTCGTAGCAAGTTTGATCGTTTACTGTCACTCTTCTTATTAGCATTTATGGTGAAAACTGCAACAAAAATAACAAAACAATTCTCAGAAATTGACTTTTGACAGGTATTTCCACTTATATATACATAACATAAACAGACTACAGTTCTCCCTGCAGTAGGAATTACACTAGCAAACAAAGTTATTAATTATTGTATTTTTTACAAAATAATCACTGATATAAAGTCTTTAACATGTCTAATGTGCAAAACATAAACTTACGGCATTGCCTCTATGAAGAGTTTAAGCGGATGGCTTAGATTGTCCGAGAGAGCGCATGTCTGACATGGCTTCCACAAAAAGCCAGGAACACTAACAGGAAGTGACTAAACAGGAAGTATGTTATAATGCAAAATAAAGGTATTCCTTTTTACACACGAAGTAGATTAATTAAATAAATTATGAATTTCACATTTTGACAAAGGAAATATGCATATAAAATATTTATAGAAGATATTTTAAAGCAAAACTTCTTAAAGGGCAACACACTCCCCACCTGACCTATGTAAGGTCACTATGAACTGGGCCATACACTAATTTCCAGATCAGTCTTTGGGTAGAAGCAGAACAACCTCTGAAATTGGCCTTAGAAAGGTTTTTATATTCCCTTGGTCAGTTGTTGAAACCTCAACCTTTCTCACATATCCATCCTTTCCTGGGAATACAGCAGAAACTCTGGCCATGGGCCAACAGTTGCGGGCTATCTGCTTATCCCTGAGCAGAACTACATCTCCCACTTGATGGTTTCTGCGAGGTACTGTCCACTTCGGTCTGTGTTGCAAGCAAGGTAAGTATTCACGGCTCCAGCGTGTCCAGAACTGGTTTGCAAGCGCCTGAACTTGTCTCCATTGCTTTGTATACAGGTCCTTGTCAGAGAAATCTCCAGGGGGAGGTGGAACTCCTGTCTTCTGTGTAAGGAGCACTGAAGGTGAAAGTATGAATGGTTGTTGCGGGTCTGCAGACACCGGTAAAAGTGGCCGTGCATTAATAATAGCAGTAACTTCTGCTAGTAGTGTGCAAAGAACTTCATGGGTTAAGCGAGCTTTTAGCTGCAGAAACATTGAATCTAAAATTCTCCTTGCAATGCCAATCAGGCGCTCCCATGAGCCTCCCATGTGCGAGCTGTGAGGTGGATTGAATTCCCAACTGCATCCTTGCTCGCTGAGATACCTCTGTACCATCTTGTCCATTCCAAGTTCCTTGCATGCCCCAACGAAATTAGTACCGCAATCGGAGCGGAGCTGTTTTGCAGGACCTCTTAATGCAAAGAACCGCCTGAGAGCATTTATGCAACTTGATGCATCCATAGATTCAATGACCTCGATGTGCACAGCTCTCGAGCTCATACAACCAAACATGATTGCCCACCTTTTGCTCTCTGCCTGTCCTCCTCTGGTGCGTCTGGTAGTGACAGACCAGGGTCCAAATACATCAAGCCCCACGTATGTAAAGGGAGGGCAGATTTTGAGACGTTCAGATGGCAGGTCCGCCATGTGCTGCTCTTCAAACTTTCCACGCAGCTTGCGACAGGTTATACATTTGTGAAGTACTGAGTTTATTAGCGACTTGGCTCCTAAGATCCACAGTCCTGCTGCCCTGATTGCTCCCTCTGTCAGATGACGGCCTTGATGTTTTACTTGCTCATGATGATGTCGAATGAGCAGCAAAGATGTGTGGCTTTCTTTAGGGAGAATTATCGGGTTCTTTTCGGCAGTTGATATCTCAGAGTGCTTTAATCTTCCTCCAACACAAATGAAATTAGCTTCCATGATTGGGTTGAGTTTACGCAAGCGGCTCCTTTTGGATACAGGTTGGTCAGCTAGCAGTGCTGACAGCTCTTTTGCAAATGCAGCTTTTTGTGCTGCTTTAAGCACAACATTCCTTGCTTGGTCCATCTCATCTGGAGTACGTGGTAAGTCGCATCTGTGCCAACCCTTGCAGTTGCTGTTTTGGTTTGAGTGTTTGAAGGATTTTGCGACATGAACTAGAAGCGCTACTCCTCTTACTAAAGAGGTGAAGGTGGAGAACCTTTGAAATCTGGTAGATATAAGTCCAGCTTCCTCCAGGTAAGTAGCACATGTTTGTATTTGAGGACGAATTTCTGCATCATTCTCAGGCTCAATTAGCTAAAACACTTTACTTGATTTTGTTTTTTCTGCAGGTGGCTGTCGAAGGAAGGAGGGACCGGTGAACCAGGAAGTCTGCGCCAGGCATGATGCAGGTAAGGATCGCGACGCATGATCTGCTGGATTTTCCTCAGTACGTACGTAGTGCCATTGCTCAGGTCTTGAGGACTGTCGGATGCGCTGGACTCTATTGTGAACATACACATAGAATCGCTTTGACTCATTATAAATGTAGCCAAGGACCACTTTGCTGTCTGTAAAGAACTTTATGTCATTTAATTCCAGATCTAGCTCATCCTTAATGAGATCTGCCATCTCAACTGCTAAGACAGCCGCACACAGCTCAAGCCTGGGAATTGTAGGTTCGGACAGGGGTGCTAGTTTCGCCTTGCCATAACAAACCCTACTTCAACTTGCCCATCTTTCTGAAGCACTTTCAGGTATGCCACAGCACCTATGGCCTTGGTTGATGCATCAGAGAACACACACAATTCTGTATGCACTGCTTCAGTTAGTGAGGTTTTAGTGTATGTACGTGACACGTGAAGCTTTTCTAACTCTTGAAGAGAACTTCTCCAGGCCACCCATTTGTTTAGTTTGACCTCCGGAAGGGATGTGTCCCAGTCTGCACTTTCAGAGGTAAGTTCTCTAAGAAAGGCTCCTCCCTGGATCGTGACAGGTGCCAGTAGACCCAGAGGGTCAAAAACACTGTTGACAGTGGAGAGAACTCCACGACGGGTGAATGGTTTGGTAGTGGTGGATGTAGAGTAGGTGAATGTGTCAGATCTCCCATAACAGACCCAAACTCCGTTGTGTGGGAGACGTTTCTCCACTCAGATCTAAGTCCTTAATCACTGGAGCACAGTCTTCAGGAGGAAAAGCTTCCATAACAAACTGAGAGTTTGAAGCAAACTTGTGCAAGCGTAGGTTTGACTCAGCTAATGAAGCCTGTGTTCGTTGGAGCAAATCGATAGCCTCAGCTTCAGATGGTACAGACACCACACCATCATCGACGTAGAAATGTCTTTCCACAAACTTTATGGTATCTTCACCATGATCTTTTGCACCTTCTCTGATGGCTCTCCGTAGTCCGTAAATTGCCACGGCAGGTGATGGACGATTGCCGAAGACGTGGACATTCATTCGATACTCAATAATTTCCTTGTTGACATCGTTGTCCTTGTACCACAGGAAACGGAAAAAGTTGCGGTGGTCATCACGCACCAAAAAACAATGAAACATTTGCTGAATATCAGCTAGGATTGCAACCCTCTCTTTCCGAAAACGTAGCAGGACACCAACAAGGGAATTATTCAGGTCAGGGTCAGTGAGGAGCACATCATTGAGAGAGACGCCAGAGTAATGAGCACTGGAATCAAAAACCACTCTGATCTGATTGGGTTTTTGGGGGTGGTAGACCCCAAATGTGGGAAGATACCAGCACTCATCCCCTTCTTTTAGTGGTGGTGCTACCTCAGCATGTCCGTTGGTAAAGATCTTTTCCATGAATTCCACATACTGTTGCTGCATCTCAGGTTTTCTCTTGAGGGTTAGTTGCAGGCTTGAGAATCGATTAATAGCTTGCTCCTTGTTGTTTGGCAAGCGTTGGCGTGGTTCTCTGAATGGTAGAGGAGCTACCCAGCTGTTAGATTCATTTCTGAAGACATTTGTGTCCATAATTTTCAAGAAGGTTGTGTCCTCCACAGAAGGGGCAGGTTTATTGTCATGCTCGGTTTTGCAAAACACTGTCTGTCCAAGTGTCATCTCAGTTGCCTTTTTAAACACACTGCTCTGTTGTTTCTCTTTGACCTGCATAAAGCTTGTACAGGGTTGAGAAATTGAGTGACGACCAGTTTCCAGGACACTGGTTTTAAATGTGTTGACTGTGGGCTTGTGTACATTACCCAGGCACACCTCTCCTATTACCACCCATCCCAGGTCCAGACGTTGAGCAAAGGGGGCGTTGTTTGGTCCATTGACCTGCTGCCTGACCTTGTGTGCTCTAATCACATCTCTTCCTAGTAGCAAAAGTATTTCTGCTTCTGGATCTAGGTCTGGAATGTGCTTGGCAATGTGTCGTAGATGAGGTTGGTGAAGAACTGCATTTGGAGTTGGAATTTCAAACCGATTGTTCATGATTTCATGACACTCAATGAGTGGTGGAAGAGATATGAGAACTCTGCTATCCAGAGACTCAATCTGGAATCCTTCTGCTTTCCTGCCAGATGTTTCTACAGTTCCAGAGCAAGTTCTAAGATTATATGTGAACTGCTCACTCTCCAAATTGAACAGCTCAAAGAATTCTGGTCTGACTAATGAACGGTTGCTCTGGTCATCCAGAATTACATATGCTTTTATGGCCATGTCCTTGTTACTCTTTGGGTACAGCTTTACAAGGCAGATTTTCAAACATGAGCAACCCCACTAACCAGGACCACAAACCTCTGTGCAGCTTGTATTGACAGACGTCATATCAGAATTATACTCTCCCTCCCCGCCGTCCTCTTGTGATGGTGGAAGAGATTTGACTTCTTGAGGTGACGGGCCAGGGTGCATGGCTGTGTCATGATTAGTGCTGTTGCATTCAAAACATTTCACAAAAGACTTACATTTCTTGGCGTGATGAGAAATTTAGGAACAGCATTTAAAACATATTCCTTTCTCCTTAAGGAAGGCTTTTCTGTCATCAAGGAGTTTGTTTCTGAATGTTCTGCATTTTTTTCAATGAGTGTGGTTTATTGTGTAATGGACAGATTTTGTTAGGGTCTTCCTTGGTTGCACACACGTCTGTTTTGTGAACAGAGATGGGTTTGTTGGTGTGAAAACTCTTCCAGTGAATTTGTCGGATTAGTTGTCATATGTTGGACTTCAAAGGGTTCAGTGCATGTTCAAAAATGGGTTCGGAGTCAATCTGTCAAAAATTATACGTTTTATTTGCTCAAGCAGAAAAGAAACCAAAAGCAATACACTGCGCAGGAGAGGTTCAACTCTGAACTCTCTTACAGAGACAGTCCTTTTATACCACAGTTGTCTTCCGTGCATCTTCTCTTAAGAGTTAACCTTTTAAGGCAAATATCTCCTCTTAGCACACACATGGCTCATACATCCTGTCATTCTTATGTTCAATAACAGGATGTGCTTATCTCAGCGGTCTGTAACACTGGTCTATACTGTGCTCATAATATGGCAGTTAATTCTTCAAACAACTTCTTAGTAATTGACACTTTATGGGTTAATTATTAAAGACTTATGCATGGAAAACATGTAAAAGTTTTATTTAATCTGAAAAACACCACACAAAGCACTGCTTTGATGCATAAAGCTAGGGTCATTTCGCTTCTTCGCTTCATGACACACAAAGCTGCAAAAATAGTCAAATGGAGAAAAAACGGCCATGACTCTCTTTATACCATGACCCCGAAGTCACCCATTTGTCCTGAAGCCCATACGGAAGTTTATCTACAATTGGTGCAATCCCACGTGAGGTGTCAAGGTACAATAGGCTTGTGAGATAACCATCTTCTTTAGCACCTTGGATTTCCATAAGCAAATCCCCGAGTTCACGTAATTTGATGTGGTCTTTAGCTGTGATCCTAGGAAAACTGTCCAAGCGCTGAAATAGTGACCTTTCAATGATTTCTGAAGCAGCATAGCACTCACTTAGTCTTTCCCATGCCTTATACAATGCAAGATTGGGATTGTTGACATGCACTGAACGGATGCACCTCACCATTTCACCAGATTCCCTCCCAAGCCATTTAGTCATGAGGTCCAGTTCCTGGGTTGCCGTGAGGTTAACTTCCCGAGCTGCACTTGTGAATGAGGAACACCATGCTCGATAATTCTCAGGCTTATCATCAAATTGGTACAGTCCTGAACAAACAAGATCACGTCGTGCTAAATACTGCGCCAAAGGCTCTGCCTGGGGTAGCATGCTAGTTGAAGGAATACACTGAGGAATATAGGGCTTCGCATGTATGTTCATAAAGGGGTTTGTCCTGTCAACTTCAGATTTTATAATACCCGTAGATGGACTAGACAGGTTTGCAGCAGGTAAGTGTACAAAATCAGCATCCTGATACTTTGGCTTGTCATTAATAGACTGTGTATGTGAAGGGTCTTTTACTGGAGGACTCCATGTTATGAAGCTGTTGTGTGAGTCAGCACGAGAGGCTGGAGCATTAGGCAAGGCTGAGAAGTGTGCGGAGGGGAAATGACTTGTAAGGTTTAATTGAGAATTTACATATTCACTTGTGCGTTCAATTTTTACTTTCTCTTCGGATTCTCCTTTTTCAGCTGCAGCATGCATTTCTATTTCATCATCTTCTAGCACTTGTGCCTCAACAGCAGCTACATCAGCTTCTCGTTGTAGTGTTAACTGTTGGTCTGTGTCATGCCGACAAACTATTAGATGAAGATGTAGCCTTCTACTTTACAAAAATGTATAAAAACGCTACAAAAGTGGACCAAGATAAAGTAATCCTGCGTCTGTCAGTCGCCGCTGATGTCAGGAAGAAGGCCAGCGGTTAAAATACTGCTGTTGAAATACTGCGCTGCGCCCCATCACAAGACCTGTCTGCAAGGCTACATTTCCAAGTGTCCTTTGTAAGTTTATTCTTTAAATAATTTCTGTGAATACCGAATGATCACTTGCACTAAAAGCTGTTGTGATGCGTGCGACTGTTTAAAAAGATTTCATTATCTCACATGGTGTTTTTCACCCGCTTTCTTTTGTTCACAGTAATTTTTGTTAATATGGATTAATTATCATTCTTTAACCACTTAAACTCTGCGTACCCGGCCCTAGGGCTAGCGTTGCACCAGACCCCCGTAAGTGGTGTTGTTTGAAAGTGTAGAATCTATATTTTGCACATATGCATCACTTTGGTTTTTATACTACTGTCTAAAAGTTATTTACACTTAAATGCACAGTATTTTGGATACTCAAGCTAGGTATTTTACATTGGTTCATATTTTTTTTATATGACACATGTACAAGTTATAGCTCAAATGAAAGCTCTTGCCGGTGCTCATACAGTTCTAGCATTCTTTTTACTGAATTATATTCATATGCCAAACAGTTGTTGAATGAATTGTGGTGTTTCAATGGTGCAGAAATGTAAACAATACATTCATGATCAATAAGTAGCCCCAGATAGCACAGACAGCTGTCATCTCTTACCTTTTGCTTTGCCCTTCAGGGCCATTCTTCTCTGTTTTTAAGGTGATGTGCATAAGTAATCCTTTTATATGTCTGATGTGGTCCAAACACAGTGAATTATGTTTGATCAAACAAAAGAATAGTGAAATATGAAAACAATGATCGGTCTCTGTTGCTTGTACAGCACCTCTCATCAGTTGGAATGCAATAACTTCTGCATAGATTATGGTAGAGACCTTTTTCTTTTTTCCTATGATTACAGACATGTGCAGGAACCAACAAAATTAATTACAGCACGCTAGACCACACAGAACCTTAACAGCTATTTTAAACACTTTCAATAGTGTTTTATGAAAATTCAAAGGGTTTTCTTTAAAATGATACCAAACTTTTGCATTTACACCTCTTTATGTGGATTTGGGAAGCTTTTAAATTTGGGTAGGCAAAATCCAGGCGGAAATCCCCAAATAGCAGCAGAGTTTAAGTGGTTAAAATAACAATGCTCTAATATAAGATTACCAAAACTAACTCAGAATATCTTTATTATAATTCAAACTTTGTATATACTATTCCATATATTATGATGTATTTTTAACCAATTTAAGATATTTGACAGATTTTTAAGATAATGTGTTTACATTAAGTAAAAAAATAACCTTGATTTGAAGAATATTGTGTTCCTGGACTTTACTGAGCTCAAGTAATAGTTTATTGTATACATATTGTGAATGAAATTGACTGTTGATGTCTTAAATAATAATGTTAAATAACTAACATTTGTCAAAATGGATAAATCTAGTTTTGTAACAAAACTCTTCATTTACAAAAAACTTTTTAAGTAGATTTCTTATATGTAAGTTTATAAAGTTTGCAGAGTTTTATAGAGTGTACTATTTTGTGTAATTAAAATATTTTAATTAAACTGCAAACAAAAAAGTGTAGTGATCAGCGGTAAAGCCAGGAACTTGTGGAAATTAACTTGTGGAAATTAATTTGCAATATAAACAAATGCTGCAAAGTTAACACTAAACTCTGACCCTTTTCTTAAGCTCATCAGAAAGTGGCAATTGAGACAGTGACCATCTGTCTTTTGTTTATCTGAAAGACAAAGGTGTTAAGAGCCCAGAACTTGCTTCTAGATCCAATCAACTTTTGACATCGTCTCAAACACAGAGAGACACATGGATCAGTAAACTTGCATTTCACAAAAGAGGCACAAATGGAAAATTTCACTTCATATACCAGTATATTCGAACGATCATGTATATATTTAATATGCACTGCTTGAAATGCTCCACTGTATGCAACTTTGCTTATTAAGGTTTATATATGAATTATTGGGTAAAGATCAACATTGCATAGTGATGTTTAGACTCTATATATTGCAAATGCTGCCTTGGGTAAATTAGATGTGGTTTGGAAAGTGAATTATGCATAGGAAAATATTTAAGACTCTTAAATATTATAATAGTTAACCGGTGGACTATGACTATGCAAATGCAGGCCACATTATGGATGACACCTCTCAGTGACCAACTCACAGGATCATCCAATCACAATGCTGGATATGAAAGGTGACATCCTTCAATCACGCCTTCCAGAAAAAGTATTAAAGACATTGTCTTAAACAAAGACGTTCTGTTAAGGGTGGGTCCTAAAGCGTCTGTGCAGAGTCTGTTAAGAAGAGTGTGTGTGTCCTAAACGGTGGTCGAAGAGTGGTCAAAGTGTGGTTCATGGTGGTTTGCGGGGTTCTGTCCTAGACATCAGAACTTGTGCCAGTTCCAGCAAGGATTTGGTAATTGGATTCACATTGCTTTTTCCAAGGCATCTGAAACCATCGCATCAAGACCACCACCTCCAAAAATCTGCGTGTCAAAGATTTCCAGGAACTCTACCTTCAAAGAAAAGGTATCTGCGTGTTCCCGACATCGAACCACCACCTCCAGAAATCTCCAATTTCTGCGTGTTCCAGAAGATACAGATTTCTACGCTCAAGGATAAAGACGTCGGCGTGTTCCCGACATCGAACCACCACTTCTAGAAATCTCCAGTCTGCGTGTTCCGGAAACTACAGATTTCTTCCACTCAAAGCTCAAGAGAGCCAAGTCTGCTCGTTTCATGCTTCAAGATCTGCAGGAAGATCCAAGTTCTTCCATCCACTGCATCAAAGGCAGAAACGTAAATATTCCACTTTCCAACCCTTTAAATTAGACCTTGGCATAGTGTGTTTCAGTATAAAATATTCTAATTAATTAGATGTTTATAACT